CAGGACTGGATCCGATCCGGTCGGACATTTCCCGGCGTTAGTGCTAGATTGGGTGTGGGCTGATACCACTAGTGGTATGGGGATGAGATGAGAGGGTACATTTATAATTTGCGAGAATCCGGGGTTATCCCGTGGTTTCTGGGGTCTGGGGAACCTGTCATCTGCGGTATTGAGTGTCCAAGGATCGAGTCAAGATGGGCCTTATTACTGAGACGAGAAAGTCTATTCAGGATGCTCCGAAGGGCATGTTCAATGCTTATGTGTTGATGTGTACGTGTGTGTTTGCGTTTGCTGGTGTTGCGAAGGGGTTTGATGAAGGTATATATATGATTCAGCTGTGTGGAATGGTAGAGGGCTAATTGATCGTCTGTTCCTGGTAGGAAATATTGCTTCGCTTGTTACGCAGCCGCATTTCAAGGCGAAGTTTGGCATTGACCATTTGTCGGAAGATGATTATGCGAATACAAAAGGATGGATTGTCTCAATCACTACTGCCGGTGCTGTATTTGGATGTCTTGGGGTATGTTGGTTTCGATTTATGTTCGTGGTAGGGTAATACTAATGTGGGTGCAGTGCCCTCGAATCAACGATCGATTCGGACGACGATGGACCTTTCGTCTCTCGACACTCATCTATATTGCAGGAATCCTTGGGCAAGGTCTATGCAACGGGAATCTGTCAGGACTTTACGCTTCGAGGTTCATTGCGGGATTGGGGTTGGGTGTGCTTACGATTGTGCCGCCCATATATATTTCGGAGGTATGACCTCTGGATGGATATGAACATGTCAATTTCGCTAACAGATTTAGATCGCACCCAAGACTATCCGTGGTCTTCTAACGCTGCAACACGCTGCTTGCCAGCAACTAGGCGTTGTATTCGGCTTCTTCATCAACTACGGCGTGACCAAAAGCTACCCTGGCGGTGACAAGCAATGGATGCTCCCTACACTGTTGCAACTCCTTCCCGCCAGTATATGGCTGCTTGGATCCTTCCTCTGCTGCGAATCACCTCGATGGCTACTCTATAAAGGCAAAAGACACCACGCAGCCACCAACCTCGTCAAACTTCGCCATCTACCCCTCGACCACCCCATAATAGTAGCCGAGCTAGCAGGCATGGATGCTCAACTCCTCCTAGAAACCGAATCAGTCGGCGAAGCCACCATATGGGAGCTCCTAAAAGAGACACTCGTCCCAATCGAAAACCGACGTCGCTTCTTCCTCATATTCATGGCAAACCTCCTCTCCCAATGGTCCGGAGCCAACGCCATCACGCAATACTCGCCCACGATCTTCGGCTACCTGGGCATATCCGGCGACGAGTCGACCTTCCTAGCGACAGGAATCTACGGCGTGGTCAAATTCGCCAGTACCCTCGCGTTTGCCCTGTTCATCGTTGACTTCATCGGCCGTCGTCGATCCCTCATAACCGGCATCTCCCTACAAATAGTCACATTAGTCTACGTGGGAGCGTACCTCGGCGCCACGAAAGACATGACCGCAATCCAAATCAGCAATACCCCCAGTGCCTCGCGCGCATCAACCGCAGCGATAGTGGCTATTTACATCCACGCCGTGGCGTGGAGTATTGGGTGGTTCGGGATTCCGTATCTTATCGGGTCGGAGATTTTCCCGATTAGGATCCGGTCATTGAATGTGTCCATTTCGATGGCTTTCCACTGGGCCTTTTACTTTGGGTGTTCGAGGGCTATGCCGAGTTTGTTGGCTGCTACGCATCGCTGGGGTGCGTTTCTGTTCTTTGGTTGTATTTGTGTGATTGGGCTGGTGTATGTGTTTTTTGCTATGCCGGTGAGTATATCCTATCCGTTTGGGTGGGCTGGAATGAGGCTAATTGGGTATAGGATACGACTGGACGGTCGCTGGAGGCGCTGGATAGTCTGTTTCAGCGGCCTTGGTATACGGTGTATCGGGTGGCTTATCCGTCAAGTGAGGCTGTTCGGGTGGAGAGGGAGGATGCAAAGTTGGGGGTGGAACATGTTGAGAGGGCGTGATGGACTTCAGATGTGCTTATCTGAGTGCTACATTAAGAACTGTTCGATAGGTTAATTTACAGTACTTAATGAATTGACCTGTGCTATGATTATATTTGTAGAGATGAATAACCCATATTGAATCTCCTACCCCGATTCATCTCTGATCCGATCAGATAAGATAACACTTCGATCACCCCGAAACAGTAAAGCCCCGCGCCAATAATGACATCTTCTCTCCCAGTTTGATTCCGTTGCATCAATTCTCCCCTCTACCCTCCCACCAACACACCACCACTGCCACCACACATTGAATTCATCCCATGGCCGGAACAAAACGCACCTGGGACGGACAACCATCACCCAACACCACCACCCTATTAACGAGCACCCAACCACAACCACCCACCATGGCAGACTCTACCACAGACCAACCCCAGCAACCCGAACAGCAGCAACAGCAACAGCAACAACCCAACCCCTTCATCCCCATGTTCACCACCTTCCGCGACGAGCTTGACGAGCACCACGACCGACGCGAACGCATAATAAAAGCCAGTCGGGACATCACCGCCCTCAGCAAGAAGATAATCTTCGCGTTGCAGCGGTATGCCCCAATCCCCCACCCTCCTCCCCACCACCACCACCACTAACACAAACAACAACATAATAGAATCCGAACCCTCAACGCCCCCCTCCCCCCCAACCTAACCAAAGAAACCACCACGCGCTTCAGCCAAATAACCACGCACTTCACCTCGCTCCTCCCAGACCTAACCCCCGCGCCCAACACCCACCGATACATGCGCCAACTCAGCCCGGCGATCCAAGAATTCATCGAAGCGATATCCTTCCACCACTACCTCACCACTCAATCCCTAATCACCCTCGAAGAAGTGCGGAAGCATCTCCCCTCGGGGATTCTCGTCACGGAGGAGGATTATCTGCTCGGGTTGTTTGATTTGACGGGCGAGATGATGCGGTTTGCGGTGACGGGGTTGTCCGCGGGAAGTACGTCTGAAGGTGATAGTGTGGGGCTAGGCGAGGAGCAAAAGGGCATTGTGGTGGATTTGAGGGAGATGAGGTGCGGGTTTGAGGGGTTGAGTGTTCCCGGTAGACATCGCGGGGTTATGTTGAGGGATATGGGGAAGAAGGTGGATGTTATGCAGGGGAGTGTGGAGAAGGTGGAACGCGCGGCGTATGGGATTTTGGTTAGGGGGAGGGAGAGACCGAAGGGGTGGAGGCCGGATTTGGTGGTTGGTGGTGGTGGGGAGGATGAGTATTGAGTGGTGGTTGTATCTATCTTACTCTCATCCTGGGGAGGGAGTATTGAGGAGTGATGGATGTTGTACGATGTACATGCATATCAAGCAACTAACAAAATCATGAAAATAAGCATTGCATGACCATTACCTCGTCAATCATGTACGAGTATACTAAATACTCAATATCTGCAGAAACAAGCATCATAAATCAGAAGCATTTAAATCAATCAAAACAAAACACCAAACACCATATCCATCCACCCATTACCCATCCATCATCATCAACATCATGATCATCAATCAAACCACCACCCCAGTCTAAACAGCCGGGAATCTCGGATCCTCATCCTCCGTCAAAATGCCCTGCGAGATCAAATCCTCGGGATTGGGCCGATTCTGAATCTTATGGTCGAGGTGATCAGCCAACATATGTTTCTCGAGCTCACGGGCATTGGCCTGCAGTGCGGGGGCGGCGTGGGTGGTGGGGAGGATGTTTCCTATCATCAAGAATCACCAAGCAGTTAGCATGCATCGCTATATTCCCTAATATGATATGTATAGTATATAGTAAGGCGGACATACGCTCAACCAACTCCTCCCTCTCCGGCCGATGTTCAAGATGTTTCTTCAGAGCGTCTGTGGTGCGTTGGCGGGCGAGTTCTTGGCGGGTTGCTTGGAGGGAGCTATCCTCTTTATTAGGTATCTTATTGGTATAGATGGATGGAAGTATGGGAAAGAAAGGGGCAGGGCAGCGTACGGAGCAACATTCGTATCGAGCAGGATATGTCTATCTTTGAGATCCTGCACGTCGGGACGATGCTGGAGATGCTTCTCCAAGGAACTGCGACGTTCGGGAGATGCGGAGAGAGGGGTCTCGTCGATGCTAGCAGCAGTAGTAGTGTTGAGGTCCATTGCGGGGTAGAAGGATGTAGCTTTGTTGTAGATGTAGATAGGTGGGATGAGTTACGCTAGGGTGGTTGTGAACGCTAGGGAGGTATGGAAGATGGCTGGGTATATACAGTAAGTGGAAGAGTGGTGTGACTGGGATAAAGAATAGAAAGAAGGCTGGTTGTCCAGGGGATTAAGAGGGGAGGTCAAGTGATGCGTGCGGAGGACGAATCCACGGGACTGGCGCCGAGGAGGCCCACTGGACGATGTCATCACACCTGACTTCATTACTACCATTTCCATTTCCATTTCCACTACAACATTAACAGTCAGGTTTCAGAATCGGTCACTGTTGCATTCTAGTCACACTGGATAGTTAACAGTTAGCTAAGTAGCAAGTCGCAAGTAGCTCGATCACATCGCCAATCTGTCCCCCCTCCAATTATTCTCCGTAGCAATCGAAAACATGTCCAACAAAGAGTAACGCAAAGAATGACTGCTATATCTGTTTTGTAACTGCAGAGTAGAATGTCGAAAAGCGGCCTGGGAATTGCCCACCACAACGTGGCTAGGAGAAAAGATGTGCTCCATTTCTTCCCTCGGAAGTCCGAAGGAATGAAAGCAACGCCATATGAGGACCCAGCATCTACTACGCCTCTCGCAGCCTAAGCGACGCCCAGAGAGTTCACCCCGACGATGGCCATACTGGATCGAAAACTGTCCCGTATCCGGTTCCTCTCGTCTACCGCATTTTCGCATCCATGCCGTCCGTCCAGGACCTGTCGCCCATCAATGTAGCCAGTCGCATCCGACAACAAGTCTGACCTTAGGCAGCCCGGGAATGGCAGAACATATCCTTTCTGCTTCGTGTAACAACCACAATGGTCTATTTCAAGTTTGAGAAATATTCATCCGTCCATCTGCACAGACTGACGGACCCGACCATTGATCAAGGAACCCAGAGCTTGCCACGGCCGCGGCTGCTACCACGCGAAGGACCCCGAGAACCACCACGGCGGCTGTTCGAATAGTTCCGAGATGGCCCCGCCATGCCACGTGCGGCCCCGGACTGGGTGCTCAGATCAAACGTGGGCTGCTGCTGCTTCGTCACACCCAGCGATCGGCTGAACGAGTTGGGGTCGATTGGCTGCGTCGGAATCTCCATCGTAGCCTCCACCGGCGGGGCGACAGACTTGAATGCAGCGGCCTTGCGCGTAGTGCCGCCGCGCGAGCCACCTCCTCGAGTAGATCCTTTGCCGCGACCGCGGGGGACGAAAACAAGCTCATCCTCGTCGCTCTCGTCCTCGTAGGAAAGAAGAGATTTTGGCTCTGCGGTGGTCGTCTGGGTCTTCTCCACGTATTTGCACCGGTTCTTGTATTCGCGCTCCTCGTACTGAATGGACGTCCGCAGCTGATGAATGTTCTTAACTCCGATACCGAATTTCTGCGCCCAAATCTGGGTAGGCCGATCGTTCGTTATGAGAATGCATGTTTTCGCCGCGTTAGCTGCATCAGGGCCGCTGTGCAAGCGCCACAAGAGGGCGCTGAGCAGCGGTCTGAGCATCAAAGGAACCGTCGGAATAGTGGACCCAGACGCAGAACGACGGTGTCCACTCTCCGGCTTCTTTTTCGCATCCTTGCTGACTCCATTGACAACATGAGAATTCGCACACTCGGGACTGGTCCGGGAGCTCCTGGAGGACGGTCGGGATGCAGGGGCGCTGTGAGTGCCGTTTGACGTGATCGAGACCGCATCGGATTCTTTCTTGAAATTCAACTTGTTGAGAAGCATTTGCGATAAATCATCGGGAGCGGCGCCGTTCTTCTTCGTATCTTTGGACTTATCCTCGCGATTCCGCTGCGCCACTTGGTCGCCCGGAAGAACTCCGTTGGCTTCGGGCTCCTCCTCGAACTCCGGAAGGAAGAACTTCTCCGCCTCGGTCCAGTTCTCATATTGCTCCATAGGACCCTGCAGGATGACTCGTTCGGCGGAAATGTTATCTTTGCCGGAGGTGACACGGTCGAGGAAACGGACGGCCTCTCGGGCATTGATGGCGACTTGGGATCCGGCTCTCTTCAAGGCATGGAGGCGTTCAAGGGCTAGAGATGTATCGGTCAGCAGATACGACTGGCGTGTCATCGAGTCACTCACTGTAGAGAGGAACGATAAGAGTGATGGCGCCGTTGGTGGTCCATTTTTTGATTTCGCTGATATTGGTGGTTAACGCCGTCTCGTCCACGGCACAGTGGAAGACCTTGCGTCCGGTCGACATGGCTGGCTGAGAGAGGTCGACAGGACCGGTCGCGTAGTTGAAGGGTAAAAGACTGGAAAGCCACAAGGGCCCTAGACCGAACAGCTTGCTTGGACGACTGCGACCGAGCCGCAGGCGTGGTTAGCGTGGTGCTGAAGCCCGCGAGGGAGGTTTGGATTGATTGGGATTAATGGAGGCGGAGGCCTGGGAATGTGGGGGCGCTGGTTCGAGGACCAGAACCATGGCCATTCACAGCCCGACCGCCAGCCAGATGCCAGATTGAAGGAATGAATCACTTACAATGAAAACCTCGCTCACTAGGGAAGATCATCTGCAGCATTTTGGGTCCTGAATCAGCGATCGTGGATGGAAAAGAATCGAGGCGAGATGGTGAGCGAGGAATGAATCCATCAGCGGATCAACTGAAAGCCGCGGGATTCGCCTGGGGCCTGACTAAGCGCCAAACGGATTCGACCGATTTTCCTCTCATCATCATATATTCACCTCCACTGTTCCCCTCATAACACGCCGCTACCATCCCCCAGTGACTCAATGGCCGCCCAGGTGTTATCATCACCTTTACCCATTGCTACACGCTTATCTTATTTGCGGCTTTCCGCGTGCTTCTAGATGGTTCGATCTCTATCTGGTATGGTATAATTGCGGTTGCTGGAATCGAGATGGAGGGGAAAACGCTATGTCATACAAGACCCGACGATCATCAGGCCAATCCAATCTCCTCGCCTTCAAACCAACGTCAGCTGTCCTTTCTCCCGTCTCTACGTTGCCTTCTTGATGAGACCCTCCTCGGGCTTGACACGTTGTGCCCACTCACTGTGACCATTGTCAGCCACCGAACCTTTGTAGAAAGTCAGAGATCGGGAAAGAACTTACGTCCAGCTGCCATCGTATACCCTCCGTAGGTTGGGCTCTCCGAACTCCGCTTCGCCTAGTGCCGTCTCAATGATAGTCGCTGTCACACCGGTGCCACAAGAGCTGATGATGGACTTGGACTCATCAATATCCTTGCCTTCGAAGATCTTGCGTAGCTCTGGCCCCGGGAGATAAGTCTTGGTCTCCGGGTCCAGCAGCTGTTGGAAAGCTAAGCTCTGGGAGCCAGGAATATGGCCCGACGACAGGCCCGGACGTGGCTCCGGATCGGTTCCCGCCCAGCGGCCGTACGAGCGTGCGTCCAGAATCTCTACTTCCTTTGCGCCCTCCTTCCTATGCTCCTTGGCGATCTCCTTGAGCTCCCGGTAAGGGATCACGAGTTTCGAATCATACGTAGGTACGGGGTAGTTGGTCCGCTCCGGCTGGGAGGGCTCACCAGTCTCCGTCGGGTATCCTTCGCGAACCCACAGCCTGTAGTTGTTGAGTAGATGGACTCGAGGGTGTCCAAAGACCCGAAGGGTCCATCCGACGCGGGGAGCGCTGAAGATGCCCAGCTCCTCGGTATCGTAGACCACCACCTCGTCGTCGCGGCGAATGCCAAGCTCACTCATCGCTTCGGCAAACGTTTCAGCGGTAGGAAGCATGTGCGGGTAGGGCGAGTCATGGTCCTTGACTCCGTCTAGGTCGAAGAAGCGAGCCTCGGGGATGCGATGCTTGCGGAAGATGTCAATTCCTTTGCGACCTTCAGGGTCGTTCGGCATGAACCAGGCCGCGCATAGCGGTACCACACGAGGAGAGGTGGAGATCTTCGTGCGCGGGTTCTTCTTGAGGGCGGTATCAAGCTCCTTGGGGGTGATCAAATATGAGTTGAAAGAGAACTGGCGACATTGGTTTACCGTGGACATGGTGGACCGAAATAGGCGAGTCGGTGAAGGGATGGAATTCCGAAGAGTTACAAACGCCATGTTGCGAGGCGGGGGGGGCAGATGCAGTAAATATGAGAGAAATTGTTCAAGGATTATTTACATTCCGCTCAGACCGTGGTGTCTGATTAACCCACCTGCAGGTCCGGAAAGATGAATGAGGGGGGAAAGAAAGGAAGAGGAATAGTGTGGGAAGCGCAAGATCCATGGACAATGACGGGAGAGCTTCGCTATCAGTCCGTCTTTCTCCTCGCAAATGCGGAGGTGGCCATGTGAATTTCGGGAAAGCCTGTCCGCTTATCGCCCGGTCCACTTCCCTTCCAACCACCTTCCCTTAACCTCCGTCCCCTTCGTCCCGACACTAAACGAGATCCCCCATTGCAATCCAATCAATCCTCCTCAGCCATGAAGGTCACCATTAAAGAGTGGAACGCCGTTGCTACTTGGCGCTGGGATATGCCCGACGATGAAGTGTGTGGTATTTGTCGGGTTCAATTTGATGGCACATGTCCGACCTGTAAATTCCCAGGTGACGATTGCTCGCTTCGTATGTCAACAATACTCCCCTTTTTTCAAACTGCATGGTTATTAACCGGGAAATTTTCACAGTGCTGGGAAAGTGCGGTCACTCCTTTCATATGGTGCGATTGTGGATCTTGATGTTCTCATCGTGAAGACGAAACACTAACATTAGCCAACCCAGCACTGCCTCATGACCTGGATTCAACAAGAGTCCTCCAAGGGACTCTGTCCCATGTGCAGACAGAGTATGTCATTAATATCCCTGCATTTATCTACGAGTGCTAAATCTAGCTGCAGAATTCGAATGGAAGCAAAACGACGAGGAGGATGAATAGCAACCTCAGTACTCGACAACCTCAGTGGACAGTTGAAGGCGTTGGTGGCTCCCTGTAAATTATGATACCCTGCGACTGTATTCTCTTCTAGCATAGAGCTATTATTATACTACTTTATATACATTTGAGCACTGGTAACCCCAGTACTCCAACATCCGTGCACAATAAACAACAACTCTGTTTACCGCCGATCGGGTCACCTGACGCTATCGATAAGGCAGCAGATGATCCGCGACGAATGCGGCAAGTCAACTTCCTAGTAAGTAAGACTAAGACTAAAGTAGTTCCCCAGATAAGTTAGTAGTTACTATCTCAGGTACCGGCTCTGCCCTGCCACGCTCTCACTTCCCATCCTCCCTCTCTATCACTCATTCTAACCATGTAGCTCCTCCCCCCAGACATGTCTCTTCCCAAACACACCTCCCCATCTCCCTTATCCTCCTCACCCTCCCGCCAATCAGTCCGCCGCACCTCAGGATCTCGCCCCCAGAGCATCATCGACCGGCCCGGCACCGCCCAACAAGTCACCGACATTCCGGAGGAGCACGACTCCCACGAAGCTGCACCTGCACCAGCTCCAGCTCCACCAGTGCACGCCCCTACCGAGCACGAAAAGCCCCACGAGACAACATTAACACCATCGCACACCACCTTCCAACCCTTCTTCACCTTAATCGAAGACGCCAACTCCTCCGAATACCACCACCCCACAGTACACTACATCTTCTCCGACGATGACACAGACATCGTGACCGAGGCAGCTCTACGCGCCCTAGAATCCGAGCCCGACCTCTTCGCAGCCAACGGAAAGGGTAAATCCAAACATACACAAGACCACAATCGTCAAGACAGTGGTGAACAAGGCACATACCCGGAAGACGATGAATACGCCCACCAGAGGAAGGAGTCCCTCCTTCCGGACCCTATCCCAGGTGTTCGCGATAACTACATCATCCTCGATATAGACTACGCCTCGCCAGATGGTACACATCCCGAGACGACAGTCCCAATCACCGACGGCGGCGCGGCCAGCGCTCACGAAGCCCAGGGAACAGGACCACCTTCCCTTCCACAACAACAGCAACAGCAACAGCAATCATCAGCACAGAAATACACCGTGACCTCCGCACACAGTTTATCCCCTGCCTGGCAGGTGCTGAATACGCAACTGGTTTCGGCGCCTACCTTTGAAAATAATAATAATAACTCGTCTGGGGGACAGCCGCCGAACGGGAGTTTGATGCTCAAGATCAAAGGCACGGCAGGACTGCCTATGAATATGCCGGGGAAGGACAAAGATCGAGAGAGGAGTAGTCAGCGGTTGGAGGATATGATGGATCAGTTCGCGAAGCGGTTATCGGAGCTGAGACAGGTTATTGGTGCGGAGGAGCAGATGGATGATGCGGAAGAGGAAGTAGAGGGTGATGTAGGACTGCATGAAGAAGGGGATGTCGAGGGTGCTCCTGCGGATACCACTGAGGAGCCGATCGAAGCCGAGACTCGTGTTGAGGGTGGTGGGGAGAATGAGGGACAGTCTGCAGAAGGTTGAGCTAGCAAGTGTAGTTGTCAGAACTGGCTCATGGAGCCCATGTAGTATGGCAATCATTATACGCACTACTTTTAGGCAACCACCATCCTACATACTACATTCTATGGTCTACTGATAAGCGGAAATCATGACGCATTCACATAGCCACAAATGGCTAATCTCTGTTGTAGCAGACGAGGTATCTATACCAGAAACAATTGTAACACAAACTCCTAAACACCATATTGCAAAGTTCACAAATCACCCATCCCGCATTCAAAACAAGCACCCAGTCAGTGACCGTCTCCGAACCTCCAGTCAAAATACAATATCAAACAACCTGTCGTTCTGCAAAAAGGACAAATCCCAGGGTATTAGGGTATCCCATAACGCCTGCTACCACCAAGCGACACATGCAATATCCATGCACAGCAAAACAAAAGAGGGACTTCACATGCGAGATCAATTGAAGGGCTGGTTTCTCAGCCTTCTAGCGCTGGAAGGAGGAGGAACGTTTTCCGGCCCCTCCAGCATCCCAGCCATCTTCCTCGTCAACTTCTTCTGCGAGAGCTTGCTATCAGTCGTGAGGTTGGAGCAGCGTCTTTTCGCAGGCGGTTGGTCGGTGTCCTCGGTTTCCGGTGTCAGGTCCATGGTAGTCCGAGGGGTTTCCGCGCTCGCAGTAGATGATTTGCGGTCTCCAGCGCTAGATGCGCGCGGTTTTACGACGTTTGCATCGACTTCCCTAAGGCCCGTGTTGGAAGGAGTAACCGCGGTTTTGGGTGGTAAAGATCCTACCTCGTCCGAGGTGTCGTTGAAAACGAACCCTTTGGATGGGGGAGTTCCAGGAGAGCTGTCAAGGGTGGGGAGCTGATCTTCGCCACTGAATGGCAGTGCCGTGAACTGTCTCGATGTCCTCATCCGGGTTTTCAAGCAATCATGGCCTTCTGTCCGAGGGAGGTCGGACGGATAGTCGTAGGCGCGCTTCCTGGGAGTCACGCCAGTGGAGACATATTCCTCGAAGGCTCGGTTCCTGATGTTCTCCCGAAGATCGGTCAATGGCTTGCGGACTTCATCCGACAGTGGCATGGTCGACTCTTGCAGGTTGAGTTGTTGCTGAATTGCACCCTCTTGTAGCTCACTTAGACGGCCACCAAGCTCCGTGAACTGTGTGTTCACAGAATCATATGACTGGTGGACATTGGATGACATGTTCTGCAGGCTTGAAAGGTGGGCGTCACGGTAACGGCCATTCTGCGAGCGAGCCTTGGCAACAAAATCGTCCAGTGCTTCCATTTGTTTGCTCATGTTGTTCACCTGAGCATCAACAATACGGACCGTTTCCTCGTGGACCGACTCTGTAACCTTTTGGATAGAAGCATTGCGTTGATCGAAGACCTACAATATTAGTATAAGTGGGCACAAGTATCCAGAGAGCAAAACTTACCTCCCAGTCACTTTGCATCCTTGACCTGATGTCGTCTTTCGATGCAGTGACATCCTTGGCAAATTGTTCCGACTTGAACACCCACTCGTCAACATGGCGGTCATACTGCGCAGTGGCGTGCTCCAGGAAGTCTCCAGAAGATGTAAGATCCGTGCGCATTGTCTCCACTCTACCCTTCAAGCGGCCAAATTGCCTCTGCCGGGACTCTTCAATCAAAGCCTTCATCTGCGACATCAAAAGGTCACGCTCCGCTTCAGCATTGGCACTTTCTTCCTCAAGGGTCTGTGCCAAGTGTGAAGATGCCCGGCGGTTGGCTTCGACCGCCTTGGTATTGGCCTCCTGGAGCTCCAATCGCAACTTGTTGATCTCTGCTTTTTGTCCATTGAGATGCGTGACCATATCCTCGAACACGGTCTTCAAATCCTTGCCAAGAGCACTGTAAGAAGAATGCAGTTGAGCATGGAACTCGGAGAACTCGCCGATAACCTCTTTGGAAATGCGAGCAGCTGCAGCTGAGAGGCCATTCAATCCTTCGCCAACCTTACGCTTAACATCCTCGCGTAGATCCTTAATCTCTTCGAGCACTTCGTTCATCTCATCATGCGCGCCCGTGGTCTGAGAATTCGCCTCACGTTCCGCCTTATCGAAGAGGCCTGCCGATTGAAGCAATTGCGATTGGTTCGATTCGATATTGCCGAGTTCACGCGTGACGAACTCGTTGATCTTTTCGGACATAGCTTCCACAAGCTCGGAATGTTGCTCCTGGAACGCCTCAACCTTGGAATCAATCACCGTAGCGACATTGGACACTTCCGCAGTAGACACCTGCCAGGCCCGCTTGTTGGTGGCATCCAGGTCGGTCTTGCGTTGTATCTTGGCGTGCAAGCCACTGATATCTTCCACCGTCGTATCCAGAGTAGATAAAAGACCTGCGCCGATATCGCGAAGTTTCGCTTCTGTCTCCTCATGCGCTTTGCGCAGCATTTCCTCTTCCTCGAGCTGAGCTTTGGTGTCCTTGAGAACAATCTCAGTCTGCTCGAGTACATCATTGGTATTAGCAAGAGCAGCACGTGTTTCTTCATTGTCCTTCTTCAAGTCGTTGAAATTGCTTGTGAGCGTGAAAAGTTCCTGAACCTTGTGTCGCAAGCTCGATTCCATGGACTCGATCTTTGCACGCTGTTCCTCATTTACGATCCTGCGTGATTCGCTCTCCATATGCATCTCTTCCCAGGAATCGACGCTCATATACACGCCATTGCGGTGTCGAGTAGCAATAAGCTCTCCCTTCAACTTTTCAATCTCTGCTGTGAATTCACGAATGAGCGTCTTCTTCGGCATCGTTGAGTTGATCTGGGGCTTGTTGCGAATGTTTTTTGCTCTAAATGCATAAT